CGTGCGTGCGTGCCATGCGTACTATGCTCCGCGATGGTATAGCGTGCGATCGCGTGCGCGCTACATGTCCGCGATGGCAGTGCGTTGCGTACGTTTGCGCCGCGCGTACATGTTCCGCGATGGATGCGTGCGTTGCGTGCGCTGCGTGTGCGCTACATGTCCGCGATGGGCTGCGTGCGTGCGCGCCGCGTACATGCTCCGCGATGGATGCAGTGCGTGCGTGCCGGTGCGTTGCGCGTACATGTCGCGATGGCGTGCGTGCCGTGCCGCGCTCGACGCGTACAGGTCCGGCGATGGTCGTGCGTGGCCGCGCGTATATGATCCGCGATGGATGCGTGCTGTTGCGTGACGCATAAATGTCCGCATGGATGCGTTGCGTTACTGTACTGCCGTGCGTATGCGCCGCGCGTACATATCCGCGATGGTGTGCGTGCCGTGGGCGCGCGTATTATGTCCGCGATGGATGCTTGTGCGTTGCTGCAAGCGCGTACATTGTCCGCGAATGGGCGCGTGCGTGCTGCGCGCGTATATCGCCCGCGATGGATGCAGTGCGTGCCTGATGCGCGTACATGTCCGCGATTGGTGCGCGGTAGCCGTGGCGTTGCGCGTACATGTCCGCGCATAGGTGCAGTCTGCCCGTGCGACGCGCGTACATTGTCCGCGTATGGCGCGTGCTCTGCGCGGCGTACATTTCCGCGATGTTTGGTGCGTTGCTGTGCGCACGCGTCATTATGTCCGCGAATGGGCTACCCCGGCGCGTGCGAGTGCGTGCGCCACATGTCGTGCGTAGCTGTGCGACGCCTATATGCATTACATGGGACCGCGTGCGCGGCGTACCTGCGGGCGCCGCGCGCTGCATATATTCTTGTATTATTTGGCGTTTCGTGGCGTACGTGCCTGTACGCGCGCCGTGATGCATATGTGCATGCTGCATGCTGTGCGTGTGCAGCCGTATTTCATGCTGCCAACGCGGACGCATCTTTTATACACAACCAAAGAATAACTCTGTATAATAGCCATACATAAGAATTACCCTTCAAGCACTAGTGCCATTATCATTTAATTCTCAGCGAACGACATATATAGATACGGGGTGTGCCAGAGCTCGCGCGGGATAGCATTCTTCAACTAGTATTATTCATGATATTATATTCATTGCCACTTAATCATCATTTGACGCATGTGATGCTATCGGTAACCTAGCTTCATCGTTCAGCGCCCACAGATATAGCCGTGAAAGATACGGGCTTCATACTATCAACAATCCATTTGGGCCATGGCCACGGATATGTATACGGAATATATTATGGGAGTCCCGATGTTTTTTGTTGTATATGTATATATATATTATTGTGTGTGTGTGTGTGTGTGTGTGTGTGTGTGTGTGTGTGTGTGTGTGACAGTGTGTGCGTGCGTCCGTGTGCGTGCGTGTGCGCGTGCGTGCGTGTGCGTGCGTGCGTGCGTGTGAACTGTTACATTATAACTTCCGACTTGGCGATCTTTGTCGAATGAGTCTCTGCCCTAGCTTAGCTGCCTCGCAGTCTCTCTCTCCGCACGCTGCATGGCGGCTACCGCTACCACAATGCGCCGCGCCACCATCTCGTTGCTGGCAACGCGCGCGAACGACTTCCGCAAGTTTTCTCTGCGAGCGAGCAGCCGGTCACGGGCACGCATTCACACGGGACGTTTGTTTGTAGATCTTATCCGATCACCGACAAACGGGTCGCGCAGTAGAAGTCTGTGTGAGGCTGGGGGGTGGGGTGGTGGTGGGGGGGAGGTTAACGCGTGAAGTTGTTGTAGACGTGACCGCAGCGGCGTTGACCCGTTAACGCCGAGAATGCGCCGTTTTGATCAATGTCACTAGTAGGGTTAGATCCTTTCGGAACGAATGCCCGCGCGTGCATGCGTGCGTGCGTGTGTGCGTGCGTGCGTACATGCGTGCGTGCGTTCATGCACGGACATGTTACTGGCAGAAACGCCGTCGCCGATGTCAAAACGTTGAAATCTGTGGCGCATGCGCGTGGGAGCGCGTCGTAGTGCGTGTGGCCGGCGTTGTGTGTGAACGAATGCATGCGTGCGTGCGTGCATGCGTGCGTGCGCTTCTGGGCAGCGACGCATGCGTGCAGGATGCGTGCGTATAAATAATATTCGAACAAACACTGGGACTTGGACTTAACAGTAGTGGAGTTAGTTTATTTTTCTAATACAGGCGCCGAGCAAACACCCATCTTCCTATAACTAACATCTCCTATACATACACCGAGTAAACCAGTTTGGCGTACGTGTTCTCTTAACAGAGCGTACGATCTACAACAAGGCCCAAGAACACGCGACCTACATTTACACTTCATAAATCAATCACCGATCGATCGAACTATAGCAGATCGAATGTGTGAGCAGGCACACACGCGCACCTCTCACACACACACACAACCACGTGTAAACTGTATTTATAAAACGTTGACTGCAAAGGCAAGCACGATTATGACGAGATCTCCACGGCGCTCGCGGAGTAAGAAATATACAACAAAACATCGAGCCGATGAAAATTCCTATTCGGCATAGAAGACGTTCGATGATTGGTTCGTCGCCGGTAACGTGACCGACTCTGTCGAGGTTTGACTGCAGACTGCCCGGACTGCAGCGCGCATATGATAGATTAATATACATTGGCAACACTGGACAACGAGAGAACCGTTGCTATCAGATACTATATGCTGATTCGCCTTCGAGACTAGTTCGGCAGTGCACAGAAACGCCACCACGTGGTGTAAACAATATACTCGCGTATATTCTACAAAACGAGACTCTATGCACACACGCACACACGCACGCACGCACACACACACACACACACGCAGGCGCACGCAATGCACGCACGCCGCACGCACGTCCAACGCGACGGCAAGCACGCAACACACCACACACACACACACACACGCACACCGAACACCGTGTACACACACATAGACCATTCACACGCACGCGAGCCAATTCGGTTTTAAAAGATTGCGAATAAGGATACCTATAGAGTGCCTTTTCATAGAATAATGTCTATTTAAAAGGATCCTAGACATTTGTTATTGATTTTTTTCTGCACGCAGAATTCACCTAGTCCTGAAGGCGATGGATACAACAAGGTATATGGCAGCGGACGATTCTTATGTTGAATGGTACTCTTGCCAATAGACACAAATCGTGGAATCTCAATAGGTAAAGGGTGTACTATAGACACCGACAAGCATTCACAACTTGTCATTTGAAACAGACGTACATAAAGACAAGCATTCACCGCCCATCATGTCCGACAAAGGGAGACGGTGGCAAGCATTAATAGCCTGTCAATCACTCCCCTTACACATTTTTTTCATCCTAAATAATTCTATCGGTTCTCATTGTTATCTCATGCGGACACAGTCTCTTCCTAAAAAGAGTCTTTACATGGTCTATTAGAATTAAGGCGGAAAAACACCGAAAAATGGAACCTAGAAATGGAATGTGAGACGAATAATTTAACCTGCAACATGGCCGAAGTAATAACACTTCGCCGTGACGTCACTATAGGTTCACAGTTGCTGCCGCTGCGACAATAACAGGTCACGAGTAAAAAGTAGTTCCCAATAGAGAAACGCGTCGTGATGTATATATATTTATATATTTAACCACATATATACAAACAAATCTTAGATCAAAAATCGTCAGTAAACACCACGAGAAAACAACAAAAACGACGACAACAACCAACGGTAACGTGTAGAAACGTGCACGCGCTTTTCTTATCGTAAGGCGTTTATACAAACGGCTATCTAGGCAGTCACGCTACAATAGCACGGCGTCGAAAAAATGATGATCGCCGGCGTTTCTTATGACGCTGTACGGTCAGTATTACTAGAGTATTGCTAACTAGGGTTGGCTGAGATTATTAACATATCCGCCCGTTGTCAAACAACTGGAAAATATTCGAGAAACAAATCGTGGAATATATATGTAAACGGCGCAGGTTCTCTATCGATCTATCTCATCGATATATATATATATATATATATATATATATATCAGGAGTAGATAATAGGGAGCGGGGGACTCTCACGAGCTCACAATCACAAGCAAACATGGCGCTCGCCGGATAACAGCGAAGAAATTGCGGACAAGTACATCGATAGAAAGTTGGAAGTCATTTACTACGAACGATCGGCCCGCCACGTAAATTGCTTTTCGATGTCCGGATAGCTTTCACAATATTTTTTTTTGCGCATCGCTCCGACCGTACCACTATCAGCAAGTACGATAATAAAACACAGGGATGCATGCTCCTGCACACAGCATTGGGGGATCTCTCCCGAAGTAACTCTTTACATAGATACGGCTAAAATACTAGCATCTGAGGGAACACATCCAACTACCCGGTGCATCAGCTTTGTAGGTGGGGGGGGGGATGAGAGCTCTGCTAGATGAGATTGAGAGTAGCATGATTAATGCATGTATGTGTGGGGCACTTACGATATTAAAATATTGTAGGGCTGGCAATAAACTGAGACTGTCGCGAACGACGAGGCCAGGAGGTCAGTGTGCTGTCAAGGAGAACCACCGATGCTCTTGCTTACACTACAACCGCCAACTTTATTTCTATATATATATATATATATATATATATATATGCATTACCTATCGCATCGGCTCTTCAACCTTTTCTTTCTCACTTTTCATTCCCACGCCTACGGCTTTGTTATATCTCTCAGTCACATCCGCGAATATCTTATTTCCATTTGCCCGCCGTTTGAACAAATCTCTTTTAATTCAAGCATTCCTGTTCTCCTACTATATATTTCCTCTTGGGCGCCCTCAGCACACGCCTTTGTCTTCCCACATCATACCTATGCATCTACTTCCCGCTTCATTCTTTGATTTTACTGGTATCTCTCTTCCTCTACATCATGCCATGCCCCCTTTATTCCACACACACACACGCACGCACGCACGCACGCACGCACGCACGCACGCACGCACGCACGCACGCACACACACCCTTATCTCCTACCTTCTCCCGTACCTTCTCTACCCCTCCGCTGTCACCTTCTCCCGTACCCTCTCTACCCCTCCGCTGTCACCTTCTCCCGTACCCTCTCTACCCCTCCGCTGTCACCTTCTCCCGTACCCTCTCTACCCCTCCGCTGTCACCTTCTCCCGTACCTTCTCTATCCCTCCGCTGTCACCTTCTCCCGTACCCCCTCTACCTCCTGTCCCTTCTCCGTCTCTTCTCCCTCGCTGTTCATTCTTCGTACCCTCCTACCCTCCACCCGCTCGTCACCTTACTCC